AGTAAATACTTTAGCCGGTTTTGTCTTGTTGTTTGCTCTTATTTTTAACAAAAGAATTACTCTACTCCAAAACTCATATGTTCAGGAGAGAGTGTATGCAGATCTCATATTATTTGATGTATGGGTTTCCTAAACAATAGGATATATTTTCTGTTTGGATTTTTTGATTAAGTTTGTTTGTTTTTATTAAGGATTTTTTTTGTTCTTTTTGTAACTGTCTTAGTTTTATTAAAGCTCTAAGTTCTGTACAATCTTTTTTAATATGTCCTGTTTTTTCACAATAATAACATATTTTTAGGGCCTTCTTCCAGTCTGTAGTGACTTTGTGGTCACTGACATGTGTGTGTCTAGGTAGTTTTGCTATCAGGTTTGAATCATTTGATATTTTAAAACTTACAATCTATTGGTCAAAGCATATTGGGGTTCCTTCATATAGAAGTTGTTTTATAGAGGCAATAGTGCTGATATCCTAAAAAGCTTGCTTAATCTGTTCATTGATAGCTTTTTTATTACCTATTGGTATGTTCTTTAATTTAACTAACAGGAATGTACACTTAAGATTAACTGAAACATATCTAAAGGATGTTTGTTTAAACATTGTAATCCCTTCTGAAGCATACAGTTGTTATTTGTCTTTATCTGAGAAACTATTTCTAAAGAACTCATCTGCCTCTGATAATGTGAGTTTTTGCTGCTAGCATATCTTCTTCCAATTTGATGTAGAGAGTTGAGATAATGTTATTGGTAGGTATGTTAGTAAGCTTAGAAATGTCAAAAACAAGAGCATTTTCATTCTTAAAATAGATCTTGTTTCTAGGTACTATGTTAGAGAAGGTTGCTTTGTCTTCTTTCAGCTTCGAGAATAAATCTGACCATTGCTTGGGTTTGTTGTTAGCTAGTTTGTCATTTATATTATTTGATGTTGTACTATCAATGATGTTGTCTTGTATATTAATTTTGTTATGTGTGATATGCACATGTTCTGTATTTGTTTATTTGTTGTTTTCACTTGTAGAAGAAGTGCTTTTTGTTTGCCTTTACCAATAGGTTTTTTTTCTTGTTCTATATTACTGGCCCAGCTTTTATCACCTTGGTTATTGCGGTAAATATGACATGTTTGTGTTGAAGTCCTTTTTTCTAGCTCTAGTGTTAAGAAGTTTTGGTCTTTTGGGTATCAAGTTGCTTATGTTTAACAGAAATAACTTTCTTTTTTTGAGTATAAAGGCTTTAGCCCTACCAGAGGAGTTTTAAAAAAAGTTTTTATTTAGTTTTTGTGAAATTCTGTTATTTTTGTATTGTTACCAAAAGTGTATCAGAAAGAGTTTTTTTTATCTATTAGCTTATTGCATTGTTTTCTGTATGGGCTAGGCCTTAATTGGTTCTTATCCTGTAAGCTCTTTTCTTTTTTATCTTTGTCTTTTTTATGAGATAGCATAAGGGCCTTCTTATTGTCAATTTTTATTATAGGTAATGTTTCATTTATATTTTTGTTTTCTGCCTGTGGTTCTGCATTAAGATACAGTGCAATCAGTTCATCACAGGGTGCTAGTACTGGGTCAAGTAAGAGAGGTTCTTATCTTTATTTAGTGTAGAGTTTCTTTGTTTTTTTTATTGTTGTCTATTTCTATTAAAGGTAACAAAGGTCTATTTTGTTTATTTTGTGTTAAATCATTTTCTTGTAAGCCCACACTATCAGTAATAGGTATATCATCTTGCAAGTATGGGTTTTCTTCTTTGTTAGCATGAAATTCTTGTTCTGATCTGATATTTGTGAAATTTTCTTTGTGTATAATCCAATTCTTTTTTTGAAGTCTTGATATTATTGGCAGAGAGATACTAATTTTTGAAATAGCTGGCATTCCTTTTTAATATGCCCTTCTTTTTTGCAGAAGTATTATACTTTTGCTGCTGCCTTCTATTCTGTTATGATCTTGTTATCTTAAATATGAGTAAACCTTGGTATTTTATCTTCTAAAAATGAATCCTTTGTAGTTTCAAAAATTAAGACCCACTGATCTGTTAGGTATGGTGTACCTTCAATTAACAGGGGTTTAATCAATACTATTTTACCTATATTCTCAAAAGTATCTTTGATTGAGTCTGACAGTTTTTTTTGTTGTTTAGTAGGATGTTTCTGATTTTAACTGACAAGAATGATTTCTTTATATCTATTGGAACATATCCAAAATATGTTCTGTTAAAAATTTTAATACCTTTTGTTGCATAGATCTTTAGTTTTTCTTTATCTGTAAAGATAATTTCTAGATGTGATCATGTTTCTTTAGTAAGATGTTGTTTAGCTGCAATAATGTCATTTTTAGCAGTTTCAAATAAAGTTGATATAATTTCATTAAAAGAGCATTGTAGGCTTTGTATATCTATAATAAGAGCATATTTATTTTTTGATTTAATTGTATTTCTAGAAAAAAAGGATGAGTAAGTTAACTGGTCTTTTATAAGTTTAAGAAAGAGACTTGATCATTTTTTGTTAATAGTTCAGTCATTTTGCTAGAGCTAGAAGTTGTATTTCTTTCTAAAGTAAAGTTTTCTTGTTTGTTCATTGACTTATTTTGAGTTGTTGTTTCTATGTTGTCTTTGTTACCTGTACTAGTTTCAGAAACCTCTTTGTTACATATTGTTGTTTTGTTGTTATTTTTATTACATATATTAATTTTGAGAACCTCTTCATTAAGTGTATTGACTTCAATAACCTCTTCATTATATGTAAAAGTATTGTTGTCTTGTTCTATAAGTGTTGCTATTTTGTCACTTTTTTTTACCAATGAAATTTTTTCTTTTGTCACATATGTTCTATTTTCTTTAAGTTCTTTCTTATATGTATTTGTTATTTTCTTAAGTTCTTTAGTTTCTTGAGCTACTTGTTCATTCCAGCTAGGATTGTTTTTGTTGATATATTCTAGTAAACCTGAGTTATTGCCTTCTACTTCTACTTGTATAGGCTTTACATTTTTGGTATTTTCCTTATCAGTGTTTGTTGTTGTTTTTTGTTTTTTTGCCATAGTGCCAAAACTTTTTGTATCATTAAAAGCTTTAAAAGATCTTTTTCTTGTAACAAAGGCAAGTGCTCTTGCTTTGAAACCTTTTTTAAGTTTGTTTGTCTTGCTGTTGTAGTTTATTTTTCCATTATAATTCAACTAATAAACCTAATATAAATATAAATTAGCAAGAGAAAAATATTATCTCAACTATAGATAAGTAAAAAGAAAATATCATCTTAACTAATTTAAAAATAGATGAAGATTCTAAAATAGAATCTTCATAGTTTGAGAAAGTAGAATTGCATTCATAGATTCTTTTTGTCAAAAACCAAAATTTGAAAACAACTACAACTAAAAGCTATAGTCTTAATTTTTTTTTTTTTTTTTATTATAACCCTGATGCTCAGGTCAGGGGCACATGTGGCACTCTTTTATTAATAGTGTTTATTATTATCTGTAATGTAAATATTTACATATATTCTCTTTCTTTTTAG